GGGGGGGGGTGTGGTCCGTGTTGAAGCTCGGATTTAAACAGCGGTGAGGAACCGCCTGTGCCCCATTGGGCGGGCCGGGTGCCTGTCAGGCCCGGAGCTGGAGACTGATTGGCTAACCTTGCGGAGAGGGGCGGGAGTGTCCGCGCGGTATATAAGGATGGAGAGAAGCGGCGGGGAGCTTTCACACGGACACAGAGGGAAGCGCTTTAAATAAAATAGAAAACTGGGAAAGAGTCTGAGCTCCCGCTGCAAACCGGGACCTGGGGGGGGTGGGGGGGAGAGACTCAATATCATTTTGCAAAAGCTTTGGGACAGTGTGTGTGTTTATTTTTATTTAAGTTTTGTTGTTTTATTATTATTTTGTAAAGAGGGGCTGGCTGTAGGAGATGGATTGTGTGGTTAATGCCCAGAATCTGATAACCATCTCCCTCCGTAAGATCCACAGCTCCCGGAGCCAGCGAGGGGGGATCCGGCTACACAAGAACCTGCTGGTGTCTTATGTCCTGCGGAACGCCCGGCAGCTCTACCTGAGCGAGAGAGCAGCGGCGGCGGGGGGGAGCACCAGCCGCTGCCCGGGTCCGCCGCACCGGCAGCAGGAGGCTTCCTTCGCCCAGCGCACGGCCCCCGGAGGCGGCGTGCAGCAGCAGTTTGTGTCGGTGCCCGAGCCCGAGCCGCCCGGACACTGCCGCCAGACCACGGTGCTGGACCTGGACACTCAGACCCTGGTCACTACCGTCCGGACAGGCCCGAGCCAGGATTTCTGCGCCTGTTGCTACTCCGGGCCCGGGGGCGCGGGCAGGAAGCGCAAACCCGAGGCCGCCCCCGGGAGCACGGAGCCCGGGGCCAGCGGAGACGAGCTGTCCCCCGTCAAGAGGCTGCGGCTGGACGAGCCGTGGGGCAGCCCGGCCTGGGACTGCACGGACCCTGCTAACATCTCCAACCTCATCTCCATCTTCGGCTCCGGCTTCACCGGGCTGCTGGGCCGCCAGGACACCGAACTACCGCACGCCGAGCTCAAGCAGAACGGACAGTGGTGTAGCCAGCAAGCGCTGGCCGGGCTCGGGGCATGGACACGGGCCATCGTGGCGTTCTGAGACCGCCCCAGGCGGCTCCCTGTGGGACTGAGGGACGGGGGACAGAGACACGGAGGGAGACAGAGAGAGAGGGACAGACTGTGTGTGTGTCTATTGGTGGGGTGTCTGTGTGTGTTGCAGCGAGAGAGGGGGAACAGAGACACACATACAGTGAACCTCAGACACAAAGTGACCGTGTGTCTATGGGGGAACGGCTCTCTCTCTCTCTCTCTCTCTCTCTCTCACACACACATACACACACACACACACACAAATACTGTCCATGGCGGGGGAAGAGACACACAGACACAAGGGGTCTGTGTCTGTGGGGGGAGAGAGAGAGAGAGAGACTCGCAGCGATTCGGACACAGAACGTGTTTCTATTGGGGAGAGAGATACGAACACAACTCAGTGAGCCTGTACTGGGGGGGGGGGGGGGGGGGGAGACGGTAAAGGGGGGCTCTGGAGGGGTGGGGAGAGGGGACAGGCACGGACACAGTGTCTCTGTGTCTGAGAGACACAGACAGAAAGGGAGTCTGTGTGAGTGAGAGTGTGTGGGTGGGGAGAGGGTACAGAGACTGTTTGTTTGTTTACTGCACCTTACCCCTCCAGCGTGAAGCAAAAGCCAGAAAACGCTCTTTCATTCTCAACTTTAAAAATCGCTGGCAGTTCTCTTCCCCCTCTCTGAGACTTTGCAGAAGGTGGGGTCCACAGATTGTGTGTGTGTGTGTCTCTCTCTCTCTCTCTCTTTTCTGGCAATTGGATCTGAATTGTTAACACTTTGTTTTGTGTGTGTATGTGGGGGAGGGGGGTGGGGAGAAAGTGGGTGAAAAATAGGGGCATTTCTTTCTTCCAACCCCTTGGGCAACGTTGGCAGGTTGCAGATTGGGGTGGGGGGGGGGGCTTTTTTTTGTGGTCGACTTCGCATTAAAGAAGGAGCGTTGCCCTTTTAAATAGCCTCAGACTCCCTGACGCCAGGGGACCGCTGCCGTTGGGTTGAACAGGGAGCTGGCGGGATCACGTGACTTTGCCTGCTCCTTTCTTAAAAGGGCAATGATCCGGTTCCCCGTATTGCGGTATTTAATGG